TCTTGTTGTCTTTGTTAGTCCAGAAAGAGGTATATTCTAGTGTTTGTTTGTTCCAAAATTTTCCGTGATTTCTATTTCTGTTTATTTTGCATATACCCATTATATCAGCTCCTTTGTTTGAACAGTATTCTATTAGTAAATTACTAAGTTTGGAATGATCAGAGTCTAAACCGTTAATATTGTATCTAAGGTTGCTTGCCGAAACCTAGGGGTTTAGGCAAGATGGCGTTTTGCCGAAAAGCGAAATTCTGCTGAAACTATATTAAAGTTATATTAAAAAACTGGTGAAACTTTGGAGAAATGCGAAACTGCTGAAACTTATTATAAATGCCGAAACTGCTGAAACTCTGCCGAAACTATAATAAATCTATAGTAAAATTTTGACGAAACTAATCGTAGGATTTTGAGGAGGTTTAGACAAGCAATCTTAATTGTATCCCATGAATATTAAATTGTATGTATTGTTGTTATATACATTTGCATTTTGTTGCGTATAGTTATTCTCTGTCTGCTGTGTACGCGTCATGTTTCTATCTTAAATGTTTTTTTGGAGAGTGTTGGGCCGTTGTTCGAAATCTCCCTCTTCTATTTCTACTTTACGTGTGGTTTCTGTTTCTTTGTTTATTGTTCTCAATGATAGGAGTTTTTGTTTAGACCAGCTAAACAAATTCTTTATTGTTTTGAATGGCATTGTTTTTCGATTTTCTTTATTTTAAAAAATATTAATATAACAACAAACATCTTACCAATATATCCATTAAGTCTCTCATATGGAAAAAGCCAAAAACTATATATGAAACCATAGTCATGGCAACAGTCAGGAATATGAAGTGCAAGGTGTATGTTGCTTGTTATAAATTCTGGCCCATATGTTCTTTCTATAAGGTGAGCCAACCTCTCTTGCGCTTCTCTCAGATCATCTTCTGTAATAAATCTTGCTACTAAAAAATTACATGCTCGAACAAAATGTCCTAAGATTTTTCTATCATTATTATCTAGCATATCCCATAGTATAGGCGTGGAATAAATCATAATAAAGGTTTTCCATTGATCAGCAGTTAAATTTGAAAAACCTTCATTTTCAATTGCAATCTTTGGGGGATTCTACCGATATCAGAAGGTAATTCAATATAATCCATTCTCTTTTGTGCAATTCGAAGTTGCTATATGCTTAACTTATTTTGATTAATGAAAATGGATTTGATTATCCATTTTGCTATACCTAGAAAAAGACAATGCATTGGATCCACTACGGCAAATCTTATGGGATTCATATATGGTAAGTGAAGCAACTCGCTCCACTTTACACTATGTTCTTTAAAATGTGTATCTCTGGAGGACTTCGAATTACATTGCAACCATTCATAAGCATATTGCCTATATAATGAAGGATTTATGGGATTTGTTACCAATTTATCATATTCTTGCATTCCTCTATAATGAGTTTTTTTATAAACTTCACTAATTCATAATATAGATGCAAAATATGTTAAAAGTGATGCAATGATTCGCATTTAAGTAGAGTCTGTTAAGTGACACAAATTAAAAGAGTTTAATGGTAAAAGGTGAAAACTCCCTGTTATTGTAAATGGAGGAAAAGAAAATTCAGATTCTCAAACTATTCCAAGTCAGAAAAAAAGGAAAACTAGTAAAAAAGAACACAATTTGAGCAAGAATGTTCTAAAAAACCAGCCCAATTGATTCTGTTTTATTTAAAGAAGTGGTATTTATAATATTTCAAAATTAAAAATTCACATATTTGTTATAATAATCTTTATTATATTACCAAATAAACTTTAAATTTACACTTAAAAATTTAAATTCACATATTTTATTCTTAAAATTTTCTTAAAAATTTAAAATTCACATTTATTAACTTTAAATTTTATTATATAATCTTTGTTGTATTACAAATAAACTTTATTCGTGTATTTATATATTTATTCTTAAAAATTTCTTAAAAATCAGTTTAAAAAATTTATATTTAGTTCAGAATTCTGATTGGTTAGCATTACAATTTGGAAATTTTAATTTTGGCTAAAATTAAATTCGTGTGGCACATGTGGCAGCCGCGCCACAGACCTGGCACACAAAAAAGTAATGCAAACGCAGTGGGGTGTGACAGTTGTGATGAATAAAATGCAGTCACGTGTCAGTCACTTTTTTTTCTCCATGGCTAGGGTTTTAGTTTGTTTGTATAAGCTTTTTATTTCATTTGTATTTACGTTAATATCAAATTTCTAATAAAGATGCCTAAGCAAAAATTTGGTAAGTAAAAAAAATCATAAAAAATTTCCATTCATCTGCTTTAATATATTTTTATCGATAGAATTAGTTGTTCCAAAAGAATTATCCATTAAAAGTATTCACTAACATTTTGTTCTGCAAAAAATATTAAAATTTTAACCAGTTCTATTATTTTACTCGTATTGTTTTTTTTGATTCTTCAAGCAATAAAATTACAACAAAAAACAATCATTACTGGTGTGCGAATTATTAATGTGTTAAGAAGTTCGGGAAAAAGTAAAGATGGAAAATTAGTTGTATGAGCTGATCACCAGCAGATAGTGAATGAATCATCATTATGATGAACCTTAAAAGGAACCAACTTTAAGGTTAAGTAATTCATTATCTTAATTGTGCGTGGCTATTCAGTTCATGAAATATTTTATAAATTACCCATCTGAAGCTTTTTTTGTCTATAATTAATAAAGAGGAAGAATAAATAGTCATATACTAAAAATAGTTGCATTATCAATTATTGTACAAATTGTGAAAATATATCAGTTATTGTATATTTGTAGACAGAATGGTTTTTATTTTGTACGAAGTTTGCACAATATTTGTTATTGTTCACTTATTGTACATATAAATGATCAAATTATCATACAATTTTTATAACCAATAATATACAATCGCAAAAATTTGTTTATTTTACAGACAAATAATGACTCCACAAACTGTTTTTATAGGGATCTACGTCGATATTCTGGATAAAATAAAATGGTCGTCAGTTTAGCATAGAAGAGTCAGAATAAATTAACAATATTGGCATTAGTAAAACTCACCGAAAGTATGTTCCTGGTCCTCGAAATTTCTGAACAAAAAAATAATTAGCTTTACAAGCTAACCGGCAAGAATACATCTCAATCCTTTTCCATGAATATGGTGAAAATTAAACGTTTCACCAATATCTTTTTCTATATATTTAAATAAATCTTCGAATAGATTTTGATAAGCTTGGGCAGTTTCAATATTTGTAAATATTCACACAAATGTTAAAGCTATAATGAATCACTCCCTTGCAATCACAGCCGAAAAAATATATCTCATTCATACCTTGATTGTGAAGTGTCTCGTCCGGACTTGCTCGGAGAAAATAGCGGGTCGGAATAAGAAAAAAAAGTTGTATACGTAAAATCTTACATCAAAGAAAACGCCTTAATTATAATTTAGTTATCGTTATGACATAATTTAAAATTAATTTATTGGCTACTAATTGTTGTTGTACAACCGAAGAAATTAGAGGTTGGAACCGGGTTTATTTATTTTATTTATTTTATTTTATGTGAAGTTGGCAAGGTATACAAAAAGATATGAACAATTATACAAAAGTTACTAATCTACATAGAACCTGTCATCCGGCAAGGCTATAACCAGGACGGACCCTTACTTCTAATTAAAAGAGAAACCAGACCAGCTCCCTACCACTACCGATAGGAAACAGTGAGCATCCGGGAAAAAGAAAAAATAGAAAAAATAAATGGATAAAATGGAACCGGGTTTATTTCCAAAAACCGGTTATATTATCTATATTATCTCCATAGCACGTGACTATAAATAAGTTCGGTTTTCAATCGAATAACCGGTTATATTTTCGGTTTCATATATTGGATTTATAACCGGTGTAAAACCTAAGCCCGTGATAAATCACGTTGCCACCTTAGGTATTAACAAAAATATCTCTTTATTAATAATATAAATAAATACAATAATATGCTTGGTTTAATAACATTGAATAATAAAATAAATAATTCATAACAAAATTCGTCCAATTTTCTCTGTCCTTCCCAAAAGGTGATCTTCACGCCTTTTTATGTTTGTTTTTGTGTAACTAAATTCATAATTTCGATTCATGGATTTAAATTATTAAAGTATTTCCATTGTTTTTAAAGTATTTCCATTATCTTAATTTTGTATCCATTTGATCATTATGAACTCCTGAATTATATTAACGTAGTGATCAACAAATTAATCACTTGACACCTCAGATCACTTGATTTGATTCAATTTAGTATCTTTCAGATCTTCATTTATCCTTAAATCTCGTGACTAATAGTTTAAGGTCATTACGGACCAATTATCCTTGATTCTCATGACTAATAGTTTAACGACTTTTCGGTCCAATTATTAATACAACTAAAAATAAATTACAATTTTATACACTAAGACTAAATATAATACTGCGCCTCACAATTAATAAATTTATTATGTATACTACGGCATTACACCGGTTCCAACCTCTAATAAATACCTCGTGAATACAATCTGAGTAACAATAAAATCGTATGAATCATTCTATTTTGTGCCACAATTAAAAGTTTATAAAGATCATTTTATAATTAATCATGATGTAAAGTGTACTTTTTTTGAATTTCTTTTGTTTTACTAAAAAAATCTGATAATGATTAAGGAGCAAAAGATTTTAAGAAATTTCCAATTTCCTTGTGAATATTTTGAAATAATAATACATGTTATTAATAGACATGTCTCAATTGTATTAAGATCCCTTAAAATAATAATAATGAAATTTAAAGAAACAAATTAAATGCCTCGTGAATACAAACTGAGTAACGATAAAATCGTATGAATCATTTCTTATTTTGTGCCACAATTAAAAGTTTATAAAGATCATTTTATAATTAATCAGAAAATATCAATACCCTCAAAAACTCTTCCAAACTTCACATTACTTATCAATTTACAGAAATATCTTTAAAATGTTAGTGTCATTCAATTGTTCAGTTCTAAGCGACACGTTTAACCTTATTGACTCTTTCTTGGTTAACTTTAATAAAGAAAATGATGAAAACATAATTGCCAAGCTTGGTAATAATCATTACGACTTTAAAGATTTCAAAGTTGGTCACCTCAAGGATTATATCTGCGATAGGAGAAAAGTTGCTGATTCTGATAGACACGCAGTGAAACTTTGGAAAGTTGACGTCAAAGATGAAAGTGACATTAAAGAAAAACCTAAAGAAGATGAAATGAAACCTAGACTAATGTTTAAGGACTATTTTCAAGATGAATTAAATGGAGTTAAATTTACAATGTCTAATATCCATGTCATTGCCATCATCCCCAGTAAGTGTCTCCCCATGTTTTACCTCTCGAACAAGAAATTTGCAGTAACAAATATCGATTTGGTCTGATCTCTTTTTTTTCGCGTTAAAGCAGATCCCTCCCAGCAAGGCGTTACACAAAGTACGGTATCTCTAGTTAAATATCCTGTCTTGTTTTAGTCTTTGTATTCTAACTCGCCATCTTTAAAATGTTAGTGTCATTCAATTGTTCAGTTCTAAGCGACACGGTTAACCCTCTTGACTCTTTCTTGGTTAACTTTAATAAAGAAAATAATGAAAACATAATTGCCAAGCTTGGTAATAATCATTACGACTTTAAAGATTTCAAAGTTGGTCACCTCAAGGATTATATCTGCGATAGGAGAAAAGTTGCTGATTCTGATAGACACGCAGTGAAACTTTGGAAAGTTGACGTCAAAGATGAAAGTGACATTAAAGAAAAACCTAAAGAAGATGAAATGAAACCTAGACTAATGTTTAAGGACTATTTTCAAGATGAATTAAATGGAGTTAAATTTACAATGTCTAATATCCATGTCATTGCCATCATCCCCAGTAAGTGTCTCCCCATGTTTTACCTCTCGAACAAGAAATTTGCAGTAACAAATATCGATTTGGTCTGATCTCTTTTTTTTCGCGTTAAAGCAGATCCCTCCCAGCAAGGCGTTACACAAAGTACGGTATCTCTAGTTAAATATCCTGTCTTGTTTTAGTCTTTGTATTCTAACTCGCCATCTTTAAAATGTTAGTGTCATTCAATTGTTCAGTTCTAAGCGACACGGTTAACCCTCTTGACTCTTTCTTGGTTAACTTTAATAAAGAAAATAATGAAAACATAATTGCCAAGCTTGGTAATAATCATTACGACTTTAAAGATTTCAAAGTTGGTCACCTCAAGGATTATATCTGCGATAGGAGAAAAGTTGCTGATTCTGATAGACACGCAGTGAAACTTTGGAAAGTTGACGTCAAAGATGAAAGTGACATTAAAGAAAAACCTAAAGAAGATGAAATGAAACCTAGACTAATGTTTAAGGACTATTTTCAAGATGAATTAAATGGAGTTAAATTTACAATGTCTAATATCCATGTCATTGCCATCATCCCCAGTAAGTGTCTCCCCATGTTTTACCTCTCGAACAAGAAATTTGCAGTAACAAATATCGATTTGGTCTGATCTCTTTTTTTTCGCGTTAAAGCAGATCCCTCCCAGCAAGGCGTTACACAAAGTACGGTATCTCTAGTTAAATATCCTGTCTTGTTTTAGTCTTTGTATTCTAACTCGCCATCTTTAAAATGTTAGTGTCATTCAATTGTTCAGTTCTAAGCGACACGGTTAACCCTCTTGACTCTTTCTTGGTTAACTTTAATAAAGAAAATAATGAAAACATAATTGCCAAGCTTGGTAATAATCATTACGACTTTAAAGATTTCAAAGTTGGTCACCTCAAGGATTATATCTGCGATAGGAGAAAAGTTGCTGATTCTGATAGACACGCAGTGAAACTTTGGAAAGTTGACGTCAAAGATGAAAGTGACATTAAAGAAAAACCTAAAGAAGATGAAATGAAACCTAGACTAATGTTTAAGGACTATTTTCAAGATGAATTAAATGGAGTTAAATTTACAATGTCTAATATCCATGTCATTGCCATCATCCCCAGTAAGTGTCTCCCCATGTTTTACCTCTCGAACAAGAAATTTGCAGTAACAAATATCGATTTGGTCTGATCTCTTTTTTTTCGCGTTAAAGCAGATCCCTCCCAGCAAGGCGTTACACAAAGTACGGTATCTCTAGTNCCTGAAGCATCTGTAATTAATATAAATTTCCTTAACCAATCTGGTTGTCTTAACACCGGTTCTTCGGTTAATTTCCTTTTTAATATTTCTAATGCTTCATGTTGTTTGATGCCCCATTCAAACTTTTCTTCTTTTCTCAATAAAGATGTTATTGGTTTTACTATTTTTGAAAAATCTTTAATAAATTTTCTATAATACGTACATAACCCCAATATTGACCTTACACCTTTTATATTTATAGGTGCTGTTAATTTTTGTATCTTTTCAACCTTTCCTGGACTTGGTTTTAATCCATTTTTACCAACTACATGTCCTAAAAATTCTATTTCTGTTTTTCCAAATATACATTTCTTTAACTTTAGTATTAAACTGGCTTTCTTTAATTTTTCTAACACTAACTTTATGTGTTTTAGGTGGTCTTCAAAATTTTCTGAATATATCATTATATCATCAATGTATACTATCACAAATTCATTTAGGTACTCCTTTAACACTCTATCCATTAACCTTTGAAAACTTGCAGGCGCATTTGTTAACCCAAATGGCATGACATTATATTCATATAATCCTGCTGAGCATATGAATGCTGTTTTCTCAATATCTTCCTCAGCCATTTCTATCTGATTGAACCCTGATGCTAAATCTAGACTAGTAAACCATTTTCCTGAACTTATCCTTTCTAGTTGTTCATCAATCCTTGGTAATGGATATGCATCTGTTATTGTAACTTTATTTAATTTTCTATAGTCGATGCAAAATCTATAATTTCCCGACTTTTTCCCTGCTATAGTCACTGGTGAAGACCATGGACTTCTAGATTCTCTAATTTTTCCCATTTTTAACATTTCTTCAACCTCTTTTCTGATGAATTTACCTTTTTCATCATTTTCTTTGTACCTCTTTTGGGCTATTGGTTCAGTACCCCCTTTTAATCTGATTTCATGTTTTACTATGTTTGTCCTTTTATATTTTTCACCATCGTACTCAAATATTTCCTTATATTTTTCTACTAATACCTTTAATTTACCTTTTTGTTCATTGGTTATGTCCCCTACTTTAAATTTTTCAGTAAATTTTTCATGGTCACTTTTGTGCTTCTTTATCGTCTCTTCAGTATCATTCTGACCAAGACTTATACTTTAAAATTTTCTTCTTCCTGACCTTCATGGTCATCTTCATATATGTTATACAATTCATCCTGGTATAATTCTTCTAATATTTCCTCTTCATCAAATGTTTCTTCAAACCCTTTAATGGTCCTTTGTGTGTATTTTACTGGTATATCCATAGTTTCATCATTCATTCTAATTATTATTGTTTTATCTGTGTAATCTATATTTGCTTTGAACATATCTAATACTCCATTTCCTAACACAATTTCGTTTTTTCCTGAATCAATTACTTCAACCTTAATGGGTATTTCCTTATCCCCAAATTGTATGTATATTGTTGTGGTACCCCTAGATGCTAATTTATCCTCATTTATCATCACACATCTTACTGTACTTGGTTCCTCAATTTTTAGGTCCATTTCATCCATTATCTGACTAGTTATTACATTTACTGCTGCTCCTGTATCAAACATTACGTCCTTTAATTCTTGGTTTATTATTAATTTACCCCTTAATGCAGTTAAGTGTTCTGCTTCAATGTTGTTCATTGATTCTTGTAGTCAATCTGTTTGTGGATACCTTCTCATTCCTTCATTATATATTTTTCTTTGCTCTGGACTTATGTTTATAATTTGTGAAAAGGTTGCATTTGCTCTGGTATTTTTCATATCCTGTAATACGTTATATTTTGGTACATTTCTTTGAAATGCGCTTGTCCTATGAATACCTTCAACACGTTCATTTTTACATTCTGATGCATAGTGACCTTTTTGTCCACAATTTCCACATGTATTATTATTTCTTTTTGTTTCCTGAGCTTTTCT